GGGCGCCTGGCCCGGTGGGGGGCTGTCTTGTTAATGCCTCTGGTGTTAGCGGGTCTGGCTAGGTGGGTGAGCCTGTTCCTCTTCAACTACTCAGATAAGTCAAGCTGTATCAGTATGGTTTGGTATTGATGGAAGCACGGGGTTGTACAGAACGTGAGCGAGGGCTGTTTGTGAACTCTGGCGGGAGGGCTGGTCGTAAGACCTTTCTCCTGCCAAAAGCTCTCTGGTGGGGCAAAGAGTTTGTTTAGGAATGGTAGTCTAACATTTCTACTGTGAAATGCTAAAAAATCGGTGTTTGTGACTTAGTTAAAATTGTTAAGGTGTGCTTTTCTTTCAAGCTGTAGTGGATATTGACAGAGTTTTGTTGTTAACTGGAGGGAGTAGGTCTAGCTTCCTGCAATTGACAGTAGTTAACTGTTTAATTTTTATGAAAGCTGAACTTTTTCTCCTCTTTGGCATAATTCAGTTTAATACTCATCAGTCCAACTGGAGCAGTGACAACTTTTTTTTTTTCCCCCTGATTTTACTCCTGTTTAGAGTTACTCTTGACTTCCTTAAAGACCTGGATCTGCTGACTTGGTGCTCTAGTTGTAACCTTACTTTTACATCAGCTAGAAAACACGTGAGCCTGAAACAGGTTGTTGAACTTGAAATCTTCATGTGGGACTCTTGCAGATGGTCAGGGAGATCCCAGTTCATTCACCCACAAATGGATGGGAGTTCATCCGTTAGACTATGCTGTGCGTTCTGCTCTTACTTCACCTCTAATTGATGGCCAGCAGGAGGGACTCCATCCAGCCTGCTGCATTTTCCTGAAGAGGCTGGAAGTAGCTGTCAGAAAGTCAGTAGAGCCTGAAGAATTAAATTGTTGCCCCCTCTGCAGGAAAGTGTTTAAAGTGTACTAAAATACAGTGTTTTCACTTAAAAGTACTGGCCTTCAGTGATCAGTCACCTGTTTGGGGCTCATCTTGAGGGCAACCACCCAGCAGTGTTGATAGCACTCTGTATAAAAACTAAGTACGCGTTTGGCCGTAGTACTGCAAAAATTTAAGCACGTGACATTTTAGTTCGATGGGGAGTATCAACAATGTCAGCATGCTTAACTTTGTTCATGTCAAGTTTAATTGTTAGATTTTCCGTCCTGAATAAATCTACACGTGGTTTTAGTCACTCTTCTCTTGAAATACCCTCAATTACATTTTTCAAGATAGGATGTGCTAATTCCTGAAGAAAGGGATCTTCATTCTAGTAGTTTTTCTACAGCTCTGGCTTCTTAATGCTGTGTTACTTCAAGGTGTGCAGCCTGCCCTGCTGCAATCTTTGATGACCTCTTGAATTGGCTTCCTTTTGAAGCGCAGAGGTCCAGTTGGCTAGCACATACTTTTTGTAAGAGGACTCCAGAGTCTTCCGGTATGTTCCCTCTCTCTGGCATTGTTGTAATAGATAAATTATAATGCATTTACAATAAATTTAAGAAATTAGTTCCCATCCTTTTATTCCACATAGGTTTGTCTTAATTAAATATTGACTGCATGATTGAGATTGACTACTTAAAATAGTTTTTGGTTTATTATAAAGTCTTCAAATACATCTTTTTGAAAAGAGGCTGTGCTGTACTGTATCTCAGTTTTCATATTCAGACTCCGCTGTCTCCTGTTGGTATCTAATATTGTAATGTTTTTGAACATTCAATAAAACTTGTGAGTCAAGAATATTTTTTTTTTGTTTATAATCTCTTTCAGTGGAGAAACCAGATACAACAAAGACAAGATACTGCAAGGTTAGTATCAGTTATTCTACTAGCTTGTTAGAGATGGAAAATTATTCTTCCCTGAACAATAAGAAATCCTGTAACCAACTGCCGAAGTGTTAAGTATTATTACAGATTAATATTGTAAACCTTAAAAGACTTTATTTGTAAGCCAAGACATTAGCTTGATAGTTTCAGAGAACTATGAAGATTATAAGTCGGTCTCCACAGAATATCAGCAAATACCGATGGATTTCTGGTATCAACAGGACTATTAGAATAGTTTCTTTTTCTAAACGGGAAAAAAAAAGTTACCTGTAATCAAATAAAGCAATATCAGCACCTGTTATTAAGGATGCCAGATTGTCCCATAGCACTGTTTTAAATCTCAGTAGTATGAAGCCTGGGAAGAGGGCTTCTGGGACTCAGATGAGTAGTGGGAGCTGCAGCTCTGGTGAAGAACCAGCCAGGTGCACGTTTGTATGATGGAGTTGGTAAGGAGCTGCAGAAGGATGAATAAAGGTTATGTTGTAAAGGAGGCTATTGTCTTAAGATGGTAATCTGTCACCTGTAAAAAAAGCCCACGGTAGTGCAAGGAAGAATAAAAAGTAGAGATTGTTTAAATGCTTGAATGTTCGATCCCAGCTCTTTCTAGGAATGCAGTCTTTAGACAAAGCATTTGAAACCACACTTCTCCTTAGTGACTGCTGACTTGTACACCCAGAACTGAAAACTCTGAGCTGCTTGGATGTCTGTTGTAGGAAAACTGAGGCTGACCACTACAAGAAGCCTAGTGGGGTTGTACTTTGAAGAAATAAACTTTATACAATACTATACGCTGTGAGGAAGAATCATGCTTCCAGATTTTACTACCTCTGTTTTGACGTTGCAGTTCACCAATTCTTGCAACGTTGCTTTGTGTTCATAATAAAGTGAATAAAGAGTTGTCCCCTGCTTTATGTTCTTAAAAGTACCAATGATGTCTTCTAAATTCCTCGCGCTCTGTGTCAAATGACATGTAGTAGGTTCCTCTCCTCTCTCCAATGTAAAAAGCGAACATTGCCTTGTGTTTCAAGAGGTGTAAGACCTGTACAACTATGGTGGGGTCTGAGGTCTCCTGTGGCTGAATTATACACAAGGTGCTTAGAACTCAAGTTCTGGACTTCTGGTGTCCTGTCTTTTGCTGTTGGAAGCGTATAATGGTTGTGTATTTGCTTGGTGAAAATTTTTTGTAGTTTTTCTGGATCTGATTAGAATTGCATGTGCTCTGCTTTGACTTCCTACAAAAGTATAGGTGATACTATAGGTGATAGCAATTTATTGCAGGTTTGTCCCTTTGCCACAGTTCTTGGTTCTCCTACAGACTCTCAGAGCTGTGGTGGAAGCACACCTATTTCATTCGAGTTGGATTACCAAAGTGCTGGTTCTCCCACCGCTGTCTTAGAGCTCCGTGGCCAGTTAGTTTCACAGGCTACTCTGTCTGAAAACAATTTTTGGAAGGGATGCTGCTTTTCAGCTAGGTTTGTTCCATCAATATGCTCGCTACGCAGCTGCATGAGCATTAGTGTCAATGTGCAAGGTGGAGTAGGGGAGAGGAAGAGACCACAACAGATTGTGTTTACGTCAACTGAAAAATTCTTGTGAAACTGTGTCTTTGGCAAAGAGTGTGTGCTGCTTTCCGCATTACACAGAATCCCTTCTTGTTGCCTTATTTCTGGGAGGCGTTGTCAACATTAGGGAATGGGGAGGAGCAGGCATTTGATAGTTGTCAGGACTTGAGTCTCCTGATGTGCATGTTTTTTCCATATATATATATATATATTTATTTTACTATCAACAACTGTCTCAATTGTATTGTCTTTTTTTTGTATTTACAATCAACAAATCTGTTTATAGAGTTTCAGCTTCAGTTGTAAGATTCTTCTTGCAGGAAGCCTACCAGTGACCGTTCTAAAAAGGACAAGTGATTTGAAATGAGTACGCACATTTAGAAAATGTAGGGCTCTGTTTTATGTTTAAATTTGTCACATGTATACATTAGTGTAAGTATCATCAATAATGATCCTTCTGTCTTCCTTGCCTATACTCACTTTTTTCATGGCTGAGTTTAGGGAAGACCAGAGGAACAGTAACTTTTACTAAGGGTTGGCTTTACTGAAGCATTTTATTATGACTGAGCAGTTTCTTTATTGCTGCCATGCTTGTTCAGCTGCTAAATTATCTAAAATTTGCATGTCTTAATGTTCATGGGTTTTTATTTTGTAGGTCAAGGAGTGGATGAGCCGCTCTCTGCAACTGGTTTCAGACAAGCAGATGCTGCTGGTTTATTTCTCAGTAATGTGAAGTTTACTCATGTCTTTTCAAGTGACCTTCTTCGAGCAAAGCAGGCAAGTGCTTCTTGAGGCAACTGAATGTAAATACTAACTTCAGAATTTTGCATTTATTTGCTGTTGATGATGCAAAAATAATACAGTGACAGCTATTTTGATGGACTTAGAACTGCACTTTGAGTTGTGTAGAATTCAAGAAGTTCTCTCTGAGTAAGGAAACTTCAATGAAAACAGCTCAGTTAGGAAGCAGTGAAGGCCAGCTTGCTTTGCAGGATGTCATGCAGTGTTGTTCTTACGGTTTTGCCATTATTTTATATGTGTATAGGTTCTTGTTAAAGGAGTAATTGGGACTTAGCGGTAGCACAGAATGAAGTCAGTTTTTCTTTGAAGAAACAAAACGAATTGGCTGTGATATTGTTGAACTATCTTATGCATTGTGGCAATATGCTGTGTTTTTCTGAGGAATGCAGATCAGTATAGGAAGGATCAAGCTGTGCTGTGAAGTCAGTACAAGGATCATTAAATGTGCAGAGAGGTTGGATTTTGGCAGCAACATAATATTACACCTCTCACCTTGATGCATTGTTTTAATAGGTGGATTAAAGAGGAAAAAAAATTAATTATTGAGTAGGGTTACATGTGATTTTGTGTGAAAGATTACAAAATACTAAAAAAATCAAGGAAATATGAACTTATAAAGGTAGAGACATAGATCAGCTGTTCTAGGAAGGTTGTGTCTCCTGTGCAAGTCCTGTCCTTAATTCTCTCTTCTGTTACTGATGCTGTGATTTCAGGAGATAGATAGACTTCCTGTGATTGAAACTACTAAGCGATTCCTAATAGCCCTGTTGGTTGCTTGCTTTTTGCTCTGGTGTCCTGCTACAAAGGTCTGTGAAGCCTTGTTGTAAACCAGATCAACAAAACCTAGCATAAATCCCCTTTTTCTCTTAAAACATTGCTCGTCAGTTTTGCAACACAGTCCCATAAACTGTTTTAGCAGCACCACTTTGGCAGAAAACAAACTAGAGAGGGAGGGAGGAGCACAGGGAGGGAGGAGTGCAATTATTAGATATTTTTTAAATGCATAGTAACTGCCTGACAAGTCTCTTCCTTTAAGTGTGTGGATAGCGGTGATTTAAAAACAATAGTGCTCTATAAGGTATATAAGACTGTCTGTGCTATCTGCCTGCCCTAGGGGAATTGTTTGGTAGTTTTTTTCCTTATATTAGAGACAGCCTTTTCCATAAGAAGCATTTGCACACTCATAATGTAGAAGACAGACCTGAATTTGTCCTTTTCATGAAGGAAATGTGTTTTGCCATTTGTTTGACAAGCTATCCAGACTTCGTGGAAGCTTTTCCAAAAATGTGTAAAGCTGCAGTTTCTGTTTGCTTGGAACTCCCTTTTTTGGCAGCTGCAAATCTATGAAGAAGTGTCCTTTACTATGCTGTCACTTCACAGCTCAAGTATGAGAGGAATGTACAAGTTGCCTTGCAAAAGAGGGAAAAACGGGTTTTAAAGAAACTGTTAGTGGTAAAGTTCAGTTTTCCTTGCAATGTCTCCTGCCTCACCTGTAGTCAGGGTGTGTACTGGTTACTGGAACCAGGAGTGGTACGTGGTCCTCTGGCTACTGCCTATGGCTAACAGCTGAACATTCAAGCCTGAACAGGATAGGAGAAAACAGGGATGTGTGCAAAGAGAGTTGTACTAGCTGGGCAGGAATTCCGAGAACTAAAGGAGATGCAAAGTGAGCATGTATAGGAAATGCAGAGGGAGGCTTTGCAGGGAAGCCTGTCTGAGCGGTAAGCCTAGGAGGGCGGGTTAAGGACTAGCTCCAGAAAGTAAGCAGTGTAGAGAGCAGGCAGACCTGCAATGTGAAAATAAACAAAGACTAGTTGGGCAGACTGGGATGTAGTGTGAACAGAGCATAACTGCATAAGACTTATAAACTTAACAGAGTATAACACCAAAGTCTGCTGGGGAATGTGAGGCCTACTGTGAGATGCTCATGCTGTTGGGACAAGAACTCTGCAGTAGTGAAGATAGCTTCAAGACTGGGACAGGCTGGGCCCCGAGAAGAATGAGAAAATAATCTTTTGAGACTTTTCCATGTATGTAGTGTTAAGGTTTCTGAAGCATGCTGGTGTTCTAGTAATGGATGTAGCAAAAGTGTGAGGAAGTTAATTTCTTCAAAGCAGATTTTGGTTTCAGCACAGTAAATAAAGCTTTGATTTTATTTACAGTTCAGAGTATGAATTAATGCTCAGTAAGTGAATGTTGTCTGTTTTATGTACTGAATGAGATACCAGTCCTGGAGAAATTTCAGGATATAATAATACAATTAAGTGTGCCTTTCATATATACAAGGAAAATGATTCAACCATATCTGAATTTTGACATTACTCTGTGACAGAAATTTAAAGTTGCCTTTCCTAAGCAATACATTGTATAGGTCATAAAATCTTGTTAGTGCTACAAGGCTGCTTATTACTTGCCAGAATCCAAGGAGTCTTTTCAAAATGAGTTCTTTGAATGTCAGTTGAATTGGATGTGGACATTCGCATAAAACTGATATTACCAGTCAAAACTGTGTGTGAATCCAGTACAGCCTTCACATTTTGGTGCATATAAGAACAGGAGCAGGTAAGCTGTCCTTTAGTTTCCGTTACTGGCTGCGGCAGCCAGACAGCTGTATAATATCCAACACACTAGAGCCTGTATTAGGCAATACTTCTTCCAAAGTTTCCATGGTTCTAACTATTGTTAAAAGCAAACTAAGTTTTCTCTGTCTCTTGGCCATGCTATCAAAAGGCAGGTGAATGCAATAAGCTAGATTTCTGTGCCCCTGGCTGAGTGTATCATCTGGTGCATTTCTCCCTTGTAATGTCGAGGCTGACATTTCAATACGTCGCCAGCAAACACCCTCCTGCCTCTTAACTGCTTCAAGAATATTTGATTTCTGAGGTGCATTAAGTACCCGCTTGCCAGAAAGATGCTATATTTTCACAGTTGGATTAACTGATCAGTTTTTAGGAACATACTGCTTGTTAGTCTGACTCACATACTACATGTAAAGATTGCATCGGCATGATTGTGTTGTGAGTGGTGGTATACTCAAGAGAAGATGTGACTTTTATCCTAGTAAATCCTGCCGCTGCCATGCATCTTGCTGCCCACCTTTCATGGGATGCTATGTGTTTTCAACTGTTCTGGACTCTGAATTGTGAAAGAACTTCCAGAAAATTGCAGCTTTCCTGCCTTTTATGGCCTGACAAAGGCAATATATCCAATTCTGACAGATACTACCAGCTGTAAAATTTATCTTTGTTTGGAGTGTTAGGTACTACTAATGTGATTCACATTGGCTGTGGTGTTGCAAGTAAGTTGTAGTGTTCCCATGAGAAAACAGCTCATTAATGTGACTGTGTATTCACTTTTTAGACTGCTGCCACAATTCTAGGAAAAAATAAGTTTTGCAAAGATTTGGAAATCAAGTATGATGCGAGACTTCGAGAGAGAGTAAGTGCTGAAAGAGTTTGTTTTAATATTGTTAATATTGAACACTGAACAACTTGAAAATGTAACTTACTGCTGATGCATATTTTGGCTTATATAAATGGTAGATTTGACAGTGGAGAGCACTATTTGATGTGGTTTTAGTCACCGAAAACTGAACTCTTCACATCAGGTACTATAAATTTTTTGCAGAATTTTAGTGATTAGTGCTGTAACTGTGATGCTCTAATGATTTAAGTGAGGTAAGATTTACATATAAGTGGAATTATCTTAAATGTAATAAAAAGCTTAGCACTGTTTTCTAACCCCATATGTAAAATGTTAAAGATACTCCCTCTGCCTGCCTTCTCTAACCTGATGACACAACTCGATGTTGACTTTTTATCTGTTTATACCTTTTCTTTTGCACAAAGACTACTGGGAAGCTTTCTGATGCTTGTGGAACAGTCTGCTTTCCTGATTAGCCTCTCTGTCTGATAACAGGCATAATTGTACTTCCTGTCTGAATTTAAGTATGTCTTGATCAGAATAAACTCAGATGCTGGCTGTTTCGGCTAATATGAATCACCTTTCAGATACTGTAGTGAGAGTATCAGCTAAATTTTAAATAAGGAAATGCTACAAAACCAAAGGTGGGATGGCATATTACCAACAGTCAAATAAGTGAGTAAGGAGCAGAACGTGATTGTACCATTTCCTATTTGGATCACCTGTTTTCTGTGAGAAATTCCAGTTTTTCCCCTGAAACCAGTAAATTAAATGCCTCCCAGTCATCTTTAGTTGCTTTACTACCTGACGTTTTTGAAAATATTATGGGTCACGATACAGAATTTTAGAAATAATACTCTCAAGTCTCTGTTACATTGTTTTTCCCTTTCATGGTATTTATATAGATGTATAGAAATGCCAGTACAGTATCTACAGTCCACAAGTTTTAGGTCACTACTCTGGATAGCTGGAATTAAGTTTGAATTGAATGAAAAGAAGCAAAGTCCTTTAAAGTAACATATGTTGTTGACTCTGTTAAGAAAGTTTTGTTCTCTCAGGCCTTGCTTTCATGAGAGAAGTCTGGAAAAATCTTTAATATTAGGATTTCATTTTCACTAGCTTCAGAGCACTTGTTTCTTCATGTCTTTCTTACTGTTCTTAAATTGCCAATATTTTGCTTTTGAGAAAGGGATTGAGAGGCTGAAATAAATGTGTTTCAGTACATTTAAATTCTGAAGAATGTAATTAATTAATTATTATGGCAGCTAATTGCATATCTGCAGCAAGTGGCTAGTGACATAGAAAGCAAAAAGCCTCAGTAATGAGTAGGTATTTATATCCTAGTCATCAACATCTGGATTTCTGGAATATGTGTAACTTGAATGTTTGACAGTATAGCATCAGCTCTTACTTTCTCAAAATACTTATCATAGCTGCAGCGTTTTCACTGTCTTTGGACGTTGCAAGGAGAGACCAAAGCTTTCCATTTGAATATATTTTTCATCTGTTAGTGGTAGTGAAGTATTAGTCTTCAGAGGGAGAAGTATTAATCTGTTTTACCATTGTTAGAGTTGTGCTTTGGAAAGCTCTTCAAGGTCAAAAATGGTAATACACATCCAAGTATACCTATCTTGTAAAATACATTAAAAATTATAAATATTATGTTTTATAATGGGACTTGTAGTGATTCAGAATAACTGGCTGGTATAGATGGGTTCTTACTACTGTTTCTTGTATGGGCCTTGCGTTTGGAGGTGTCAGGAATAAGCAAGTTTTTGAAGATAGTTAACTGCATGTTATCTGAGTCCGTTAGCATATGTTTTCAGGATGTTTTTTGCTTTCTTTGTTTTCTGAAAACACTGTCCACAGCAGTAATATATGTCCTAAAAAAGTGGGGGGAGGCCTTACTGTTTATTTTTAATAGTAGACTATTTGTGGGTTTTCATCTTTTTTTTTTCTTTCTTTTTCAAAAATTCTGATTTTAAAATGGACTCCTCCTCTGTTGCGGAGATGTCAGAGGTCTGTAGAGAAAGTTTTTTTTTTTCTCACTTGTGAAAGATAATTCCAATAATTTCCTGTAGTCTTTCTGCAAATGAAAAATAAATGGAGTTTATGCTCATGTGAAAAGCTATGTACAGAAGTGTTTGCAATATAAGCTCAGTTACAAAGACACTTGAATTTTGTATGCTAAGAATTAGTGTCAAGAATGTACGGGGAAAAAATTTCAAGGCAAAGATCAAGCTGAAGGTAATGTCTTGAATGTTAGTACTTTAAATGAGATGCTGCTCTTAATATATTTCTCTACCCAGCATATATATGTATATACACACACTTGAATAGCGGATATAAAGATATCTCCTCCCCTAATATTGGGATAAAATGTAAAAGGTAGTTACACCTGCACATTACGCTTGAGAACCCAAGAAAACAAAGCTGTTAAGAGATGTTTGCATTGGAAGTGGTGCTAAAGACTTGATATATCTTGGTAAACCCAAGCCATGTAACTTGCCTTTTACAGAAATACGGTGTTGCAGAAGGAAGGCCTTTGACTGACCTCAAGGCTATGGCAAAGGCTGCTGGAGAGCAATGTCCTTCATTCACGCCTTCTGGAGGAGAAACACTGGATGAAGTATGGTATTTATTTATTTATTTGTGCTCTAGTTTCTAGGCCGTTTCATCAGTGCAGATGCAGCTATTGCGTACTTAAGAAAATCTTATTGCGAGCTTAGTCCAACCAAAGGTAGTTACTTTCCAAGCTAAAAACACTACTTGACCTGATTGCAGTGGCTGCCAAGTAGGGAATCTCTTTAAAGCTAAAATATTGATTCTGAGATTGACTCCTCATGAAGCTCTGGTTTGCAGAAGAATGATGGCAATTATTCTCAGCCTTGGCTTTGGATAGCAGAGGAGGTTTTGCAGCACTCAGTAACTTAACCATTGATTTCTGGGACTTGTCTGTGATAATTGTTTGTCTTTTAACTCAAGTAGTCATATCTCAGATTTCTGAAAGCCGAAGTTTCTTGCATTCTTCTGACCAGTACTCTTCTGACCTTTCTCTTTAGGTAAGAGAACGTGCAAGGAATTTTTTTGAATTTCTGTGTCAGCTAGCTGTTGAATTGGAACAGAAAGAACAAGGCATGCATGGTGCGGCAAGCAGCAGCTCAGGAACATCTGAAGAACAGTTAGTTTTTCCTTGGACAAACCACTGCAGTGAAGCAGAACTTAGTTCTGATAATGGTGGAGCTTCTAAAGTATTAGATGCCAATATATTAGTGGTGAGTCATGGAGCCTACATGAGGAACTGGATCGGTTACTTTGTTTCAGATCTCAACTGTACTTTACCAACAAATTTAACAAAGTCTCAGTTGTCTTCTGTCAGTCCCAACACAGGAGTTAGTCATTTTATTATAAAACTTGAAAATGGAAATTTGTTAAAACCTGAAATCACATGTGTTTGTCTTAATCAAGACTCTCACTTAGTGGATGTGGGAGCTGATTGTGTAGCTCCAAAAGTATTTTAAGAGCCTTTGTAGGGGGAAGTGGGTTTAGATCGCTATTATACTAAGCTTGGGAAGGGTATCTGTAGTAATTACTGAGATTGACTGGAGTTATTGTCACTAAACTGCAAAATTGAAGACATGCAACTGCTTACCATCTTAAAATAACACGATTTGCATGGGCCTAGTGCCCAATATAAGTTGGCACTAGAGAAATAACACAGAAGTTCTTTATGAGCAGAAGCATAACACTTCCAGTCACTTGCATATCTGCTCCTAGAGTGCATATTTTTAAAAACTTCTTTTCATTAGCCCATAATTGGTTTGGTTATATTCAGGTAAAAGAGTTGGGGAGGGGAGAGGAATGGTACCTCAAAGATGAGCTATACTGTATTCTTGTTTTATTACATAATGCTATATTGTAATATTAAACATATATGTTGTTTTAAAATAACTTTTTTGAATGCAATAGTATATCCTAAAAAGGAGCCTTGCCTGGTGGAAAAGGTTTGGTACAGAGTCAGGGGACGCATTCCTGGCTCTGATACTAAATAGCTGTGAGACTCTGGGCAAATCTCTTTTCCATTTGTAAAATGGGGATGATGATATACCTACCTCGCAGGAGTGTTTTGTAAGAAATTTAGTGTTGTTGAGACCTCTGTTGAAGAGCACTGTACACAAACATAAGGTATTTATTTTTAACTGTAAGCAGGTTGGGGAACCTCATGTGCACATAGTTGAAATAATGGTCTCTCTTCTGTAAAGGAACCTTCTTGATAGGGAGAGCTGTACCCAATTAGAATCCTTCTATCAATTGCAGTCTACACTTGATGGATGAATATTTTTGCCTACAATTAGGCAGGTTTGATTGTTTGATGACTGCTTGTAGTTGCTGTTAGTACTACATTCTTTCTCCACTGGGGTGTTTGTAGTGTTACTGTGTAAGCTTATTTGCTTTATGTTATTTATAACATCCACATACTTTTCTTCATTTGCGTATTTCAAGCCTGTTTAAAAAAATAGTAATAAAAAAAAATAATTAAAGGCTCCTGAATAGAACTCCATTTTGCCTGTATTTCTTTTTAGGTAAAAATCTTTGTTAATATTACTGTGTGAAGCTCTGCTGAGGTCATATAACTTCCTTTTTTTTTCTTTTTTTTTTCTGAAATACCCCAGCCTGTTCTTTTACTGTGAACAAGAGCCCTTTTAAGGCTGATGGATCAATGCTATCTTGACACCTACCTGGAAGAACCACTGATGTTAAATGTTAAGGACATACTTAAATGCCTTGCAACTGTACAAAATCAACTGTTTGACTGAAGTTCTAATTTTTTATAGTTTTTAAAAATACTCAGTCCTGTGTACTTTAAACTACTTGGCTTCTTTTCCTTGAAGCAGAGACTTGAATTTTGAGGAGGAAAAAGAAGTTGCTATTGTTTCCTTGACCAGGTGGGTACCTGTACTTAACTGTGACCCTACTGAAAAAAGGCAACAGAAATATTTAAGCTGATTCTGGTGACTGTACTTTGCCTCTTCCATTCCTGCCACTGTCATTCAGTAGGAAAGTTCTCTCCATTCCTACTTGAACACAGAATGAGGGTCTGCTTCCGTTCTCTGTACTCTTCATCCAATACTGCAAAAAAGTAGTGAGTGAAGTGGGAGTGTTCAGCCCTGTGGTGGCCAGAGGTGGACTTCTAAGGTAGCGTTCTCCAGAAGCTGGAAATGAACCTAAGGCTTTTCAGCTGCAGTGGGGCTTGTTTATCTAGCCAACAACCGTGAAACTATCTGCTGCTGTGTCTGAAAACTAGTCTGTAGAGAGGAAAGCAGCTTGCCTGATGTGTAAAGATGGATACGAGTAACCGGTGTCGGCAAAGGTTGGTCTTTCAATCTCCAACGCATTATATAATGTGAAAGACTGGATGTCCTTAAGTTGGGTTAGCAAATTTACATTGGAGTTTTATACTGAAATTCTGCATTGATAGGTTAAACTTGTTACGCAGTCAGCTGGCTTCCTTTCATTTCTTTACAGATACAGAGGAAAGCTGTTTCATTAAGGCTTCTCTTTCACTGTATGAGGCAGTTCGAAAAATGTATAGGTGTATCTGGGCAAAGTCTTGTGACTAGGGGTCTTCCAGCAAATGTGAAATCTTCATAATATAGAATCCTGGGAAACTTAAGATTTCTCAATAACATAAAAACAAGTTTTGGTCAAAATGCCTCTATTTCAAGTTTAATTTTATATAAGCAGCCTTTGTTGAAAATAAAAGTATTCTTAAGCAAAGTGTTTCAGTGTTATTCAGAAGTAAAAATTTCTGAATTCAAATAGTCACAATAAAATGCTTAGAAAATTAATAAATTTTTTTTTTTTGAGAAAGTCAGCCAATTGGAAAAATCCTTGGCAGCCAACCGTTATGGACATTATGCATGATTACCACCCAAACAGTAAGTTTGTGTTTGTGAAATTAAAAAGGGTCTGTTTCAAATCACAAGTACAGAGGTGACAGTGGTAGCTTGAGGAACTGCTCAAGACTTGTGTTTAAAAAATGTCCATAGATATTTTTTTTTCCCCCAAATAAAATAATTCATTCTTAATATACTAAAGGAAATAAGTTGTGTACACGGGGAGGAAAAATGGGAATGCGGACTTCTGCACAGACTCCTCGAGCCTCTTGTGAAATGCATCTTCCTAGAGGGCTCCTGAACACTGAATTGATGATCACAGCCAAAGAAGGTAGAAGGGTTTTAATTATGGCCACTAAAAATGTTAATGGCAGAGGGTGGGATGGGAGTTCATTCTTAATTTGCTTGTCCCTGGTAGTGCCTGTTTACTTTCAGGAAGGCTAGTTACATAGCAGGAGACTATCCTGTTGGTGCTTTAAATAGCCTGAACTTTTCTGTAATTGCTGTGTCCTGAATTTTGTCAGTCATTCCACTAATACTTCTTGGAGCCAGAGTAACCAAGCTGGAAACGTGCATTCTTCCTCAGCTAGAAAATGAGCTGAGACCTAATATGTTTTCCTCCCTAAGTCGGTAACTTTTGTCAGATACTTCAAAACAAGCTAGTGATTTGTCTGCTTCCCTTCGTTTAAAAGGCTTCTCTTTCTTTGGTGCCTACCTTCAAGCAGGTTAATTAACCTTTTGTTCTTTCTGATGAGCAAATATCTTATGGGAACATCTTACTTTGGCAAATGCTTTGCCACTTCTTGGGTAATACTCTTCCCATAGGGATTTTTGATTCCTCCTTTATAATATGCTTTACTTTCTTTAATATATTCGTAGGTGGTAAAAATTTAGACCCATCCTAAGAAACCTCTGTATATGATGGTTTTCTTTAAGTTACTGTTGACAAATTCTTTCATCTTGTGTGAACTCTTACACAGGACAAGCAGCAGGTACAGTAGTGTCTAACCATGAAAAATATCCAAGGGTGAAACCATTCAAATTTTCTAAACAGCTCCTGTGTTAATGAAGTAACTTTTTTTTTTCAACAAAAAACTTATGAGCAAGAATGTCCTGACTAAGACTTTGTAAAACACACTACATTGGTGCAAACACATCTGCCAGTGGCTGGGGAATTAGAAGCAGTCAAGCGTGTTCTGCGGTTGCCTTGTTGTATTCTTTCCCT